CCCTCCCCCGCGGTAGAGCCTGAGCCCATAGACTCAAACAAAACCGAAATGACCATTTTACCCCTTAAGGTCACGTGACGTTTGCTGAAGTAGACAACGCTCTGTCTTCGTACATATCGTCTCTCTCTCTCTCTCTCTCTCTCTCTCTCTCTCAGTGAGATTATATTCTGCCTTCAGTCCGATCAGATCGATTGAATCCACTCCACTCCGAATTTAGTGAAATCCAGGTAAGACTCCTTTGGCGGATCCGCGGAATCTCGTGGTTGGATTCATTGTTGTCTTCCGTGGATCGTCATCTCCATTTTGCTATTTGCTTCGCTGACGTGAAATCTGTCGCAGCTTTGTTGTTCGGATCGTTTTCATGGCTTCAACAACGTTCTCTCTCGTATCGGCTTCTGTATTCCCGCGCGAGATCAGCGTGGTACGTTGTTTTTTGATATCTCAGTTGAATTCCGATTCGTCCGTACTGTGGAATTTGTTCGGAACTGTTTCTTTGCCGAGAAAATGATTTGGAATAAGGAAAATGGAGGGAATATAAGTTTGTTGAGATGATTTTATGTTTTAAACGGTCTAAGATTTGTTCTGAATCGCTTTGATCGTGTTGATTCCTTGTTGATTGAACAGGACAAGCAGAAGCTTGGAAACTCCGGTTCGAATGCATTCTTCAAAACCAAGGTATAGCGTATTTACTGTTCATTATTCTTTGAGCATGTATCATCGTTTGAGCAGTGTGAGACCTGGACACATAGGCCATTCATTGCTGCTTAGGATGTAGATCAGAGAAGAGGTTTTATATTGACAAATGCTATCTGAGAAATTCATTTTGTAGTTGTATTTGCGTATCTGAAGTGGGCTTCACTTTTGAGTTTCAGTCCTTTGGCCGTGTGACCATGTCAATTGCTGTCAAGACATCTCGTTTCGATGGTATAACTATGGCTCCTGCAGACCCTATTCTTGGAGTCTCTGAAGCTTTCAAAGCAGACACAAACGAGTTGAAGCTCAATCTTGGTGTTGGGGCTTACCGAACTGAAGAACTACATCCATATGTTCTTAGTGTTGTCAAAAAGGTTGGAACCTTTGCTGAAATGATTCATGATTCCTTTTTAAGCAGAAAATTCTCTCTTGAGCCAACGAGGCTACTTCTAAGTGTTCGCTGATCGTTTTGCCAGATTACTTATGTACTTAAGCGTGAATTGTAGTTAATCCTTGCATGTTTCCTTTGTAGGCGGAGAACCTAATGTTAGAGAGAGGAGAAAACAAAGAGGTAACTTAGTTTGCTTAAATTTGTGAGCAAGAAAATCCTTGTCATCTTTTTCATGAAACTTCACTTGAATGGGAACTGCAGTATCTCCCAATTGAAGGGCTGGCGGCATTCAACAAGGTTACAGCAGAGTTGTTATTTGGTGCCAATAGTGCTGTCATAAACGAACAAAGAGTATGTTGGGATCTATTTTGACATATTTGGTGGCATTTTTTTCTTTATCTACATGGCACGCCTCTTTCTGAGCTGTACATATCTTCATATGATTTATGTCCTTGATTAATTCACTGCTCTTGCTCTCTAAAACCAGGTGGCAACAGTTCAGGGTCTTTCAGGAACAGGTTCACTGCGATTAGCTGCAGCTCTTATTGAGCGTTATTTCCCTGGAGCGAAAGTTCTGATATCATCGCCAACATGGGGTGTGTTGCCCATACCGTAAGCTTTTGTATATTTTTCTCGAGTATATAATCACCTTTATTGGCTGACAAACAACCAGAACAGGTAATCACAAGAATATCTTCAATGATGCCCGAGTTCCATGGTCTGAATACCGGTACTACGATCCAAATACGATTGGTTTGGACTTTGAGGGAATGATAGCCGATATTAAGGTTTGTCCCTGCATGACATTACATTCTTGGATCGACTTTCTTTATGTTCTGTCCATTGTGGTAATAGACCATATATTCTCAATCTAAAGGATTTTATGATAGCTGATCGTTTATTGCTTAATATGAATTGTACAGGCTGCTCCAGAAGGATCTTTCATATTACTTCATGGATGTGCTCACAACCCAACTGGCATTGACCCAACGCCTGAACAGTGGGTAAAAATTGCTGACGTGATTCAGGAGAAAAACCATATCCCCTTTTTCGATGTTGCATACCAGGTACACTCATTCCCTAAAATGTCAATGTTTAGTAGAATATGGTTGGATTCAGGTTAACTTACATGATAATGCTACATCTATATTTCCAGGGTTTTGCTAGTGGAAGCCTTGACGAAGATGCGGGATCTGTGAGATTGTTTGCTGAGAGAGGAATGGAATTTTTCGTCGCGCAGTCATACAGTAAAAATCTCGGTCTTTATGCAGAAAGGATCGGAGCTATCAATGCCATATGCTCATCAGCTGATGCAGCTGCAAGGTTTAACCCATCTAGTAAAATTCTTAAAAAAAATACATATAGCCACACCTTAAACAGAAAGATTCCAAATTCTTCTGGGTTTTTTTTTACTTTGATTGGAAAATCGATCAGTACTAGTAGATAATTGTTGGGTTTGGGTATTTCATCTATAGATGTTATAGGTTTATGACAGAAATCCTTTGCTTAAAACACTGTTTTTTTCAGGGTAAAGAGCCAACTGAAAAGGCTGGCGAGGCCAATGTACTCGAACCCGCCAGTTCACGGGGCGAGGATAGTGGCGAATGTCGTGGGGGATCCGACTCTGTTCGGGGAGTGGAAAGCGGAGATGGAATTGATGGCGGGAAGAATAAAGAACGTGAGGCAGATGCTGTACGATAGACTCGCGGAGAAGGACAAAAGCGGGAAGGACTGGTCATTCATACTGAAGCAGATCGGCATGTTCTCCTTCACCGGCCTCAACAAGGCTCAGGTAAATGCCATATATTTCGGTTCGGGTACGGTTATTATTTTTTTAATAACATTTTTTTTTGGGGGGGGGGGGGGGGGGG